ACCTCCCACCACAACCACACAACCCCTCCCCCACAACCACACAACCCCTCCCCCACAACCCCCACCTCCCACCACAACCACACAACCCCTCCCCCACAACCACACAACCCCTCCCCCACAACCACACAACCCCTCCCCCACAACCACCACACACCCCTCCCCCACACCCCCCCCCTCCCACCACAACCACACAACCCCTCCCCCACAACCACACAACCCCTCCCCCACAACCCACCCCCTCCCCCACAACCCCCCCCTCCCACCACAAACACACAACCCCTCCCCCACAACCACACAACCCCTCCCACCACAACCCACCCCCCCCCCCCACCACCACACAACCCCTCCCCCACAACCCACCCCCTCCCCCACAACCACACAACCCCTCCCCCCACACCCACACAACCCCTCCCCCACAACCACACAACCCCTCCCACCACAACACACAACCCCTCCCCCACAACCACACAACCCCTCCCACCACAACACACAACCCCCCCCCACAACCACACAACCCCTCCCACCACAAACACACAACCCCTCCCCCACAACCACACAACCCCTCCCACCACAAACACACAACCCCTCCCCCACAACCCACCCCCTCCCACCACAACCACACAACCCCTCCCCCACAACCACACAACCCCTCCCACCACAAACACACAACCCCTCCCCCACAACCCACCCCCTCCCACCACAACCACACAACCCCTCCCACCACAAACACACAACCCCTCCCCCACAACCACACAACCCCTCCCACCACAAACACACAACCCCTCCCCCACAACCCCCACCTCCCACCACAACCACACAACCCCTCCCACCACAACCACACAACCCCTCCCCCACAACCACACAACCCCTCCCCCACAACCACACAACCCCTCCCCCACAACCACACAACCCCTCCCCCACAACCACACAACCCCTCCCCCACAACCACACAACCCCTCCCCCACAACCACACAACCCCTCCCCCACAACCACACAACCCCCCCCCCCTCCCACCACAACCACACAACCCCCTCCCCCACAACCCCCCCTCCCACCACAACCACACAACCCCCTCCCCCACAAACCCCCCCTCCCAGAGACTATAATGCCACTATCAGACGACGGGCACTGAATGCCAACTAACTACCAGGATATCAAGAGGGAAGGCGGTGACCTTCAGAGGAGTCCCGCTGTGCCCTTATTCCTGTTAAATTACCTAGGTAATGACCGCGCCCTGATAAAATGTCCAGGTAAGTGCCCAGGTGATGAGAGAGAGGGAGGGACGCAGGACCAGCAATACGGAAGGGTAAAGGGAGGGAAGGTGGAAGGGCAAAGGGAGGGAAGGTGGGAGGGAAGGGAAGGGATGGGAACTTTGATACAAGGAAGGAACTTGGAGGGTTGTATATACAAGGTAGGTAAGACAAGGGGTTATCGAGCTTGTGGACATGAAGCCATGTTTTTGTACCTGGTTGATGGGGTTCTGGGAGTTCTTCTACTCCCCAAGCCCGGCCCGAGGCTAGGCTTGACTTGTGAGAGTTTGGTCCACCAGGCTGTTGCTTGGAGCGGCCCGAGGCCAGGCTTGACTTGTGAGAGTTTGGTCCACCAGGCTGTTGCTTGGAGCGGCCCGAGGCCAGGCTTGACTTGTGAGAGTTTGGTCCACCAGGCTGTTGCTTGGAGCGGCCCGTGGCCAGGCTTGACTTGTGAGAGTTTGGTCCACCAGGCTGTTGCTTGGAGCGGCCCGAGGCCAGGCTTGACTTGTGAGAGTTTGGTCCACCAGGCTGTTGCTTGGAGCGGCCCGAGGCCAGGCTTGACTTGTGAGAGTTTGGTCCACCAGGCTGTTGCTTGGAGCGGCCCGAGGCCAGGCTTGACTTGTGAGAGTTTGGTCCACCAGGCTGTTGCTTGGAGCGGCCCGAGGCCAGGCTTGACTTGTGAGAGTTTGGTCCACCAGGCTGTTGCTTGGAGCGGCCCGAGGCCAGGCTTGACTTGTGAGAGTTTGGTCCACCAGGCTGTTGCTTGGAGCGGCCCGAGGCCAGGCTTGACTTGTGAGAGTTTGGTCCACCAGGCTGTTGCTTGGAGCGGCCCGCAGGCCAGGCTTGACTTGTGAGAGTTTGGTCCACCAGACTGTTGCTTGGAGCGGCCCGAGGCCAGGCTTGACTTGTGAGAGTTTGGTACACCAGGTTGTTGTGGTGCAGCAGGGGCGTGTTACTGAGAGGCGCAGTTTACCTGTAAACCTCCCCCTAACCCCTCCCCCCCCCCCTCCCCGATATCGAGGAATCACCCCCTCCCCCCATAATTAGCCTTCACTCACCACCCAGCATTTCCCACTCTCCTCAAAAACTCAAAACGCTTCATGCAGGTCGGCGTTCAATCCCCGACCGTCTAAGTGATTGGGCAACCATTCCTTCCCCTCCGTCCCATCCCAAATCCTTATCCTGACCCCTTCCCAGTGCTATATAGTCGTAATGACTTGGCGCTTTCCCCCTGATAGTTCCCTTCCCTTCCCCCATCACACGCTTATTCCCCCCCCCCATCCCCCCTAACAACCATGACCCCCCCATCCTTCCTATCCATGGCGGAAGGGGGGAGCAGTCAACCCCCCCCCTTCACCACCTCTCAAACATTTTGAAAAACACGAACTCACCCTTCATACAGACCTTCCATTAATCTTACAAAGGGGCAGGAATCTATTAGATCTCCCTTTGGCTCTCTTGAGGTTGATAAAAGAGGGGGGAGGCTGGGGTAGGGGGTCTCCAGATCCCCCCATTAAGGCTACACGTGTGAACGTGTATTAAATCAAGATACACAATACAGGATACATATACCTATGACAGCTGACCTCTGACCTCTAAGACCTCTATTAGGCATACACGAGCATAAGAGTTAAGGGAACTATGGAAGGCCTATTGACCCATACGAGGCCCATTGTTGTTGTTGTTTAAGATTCAGCTACTGGGGACAACAAGTTCCAAGTAGCACGGGCTATGGTGATCCCGTAGTGGACTTACCTGGCACAGGAGCGGGGCAAGTAGCACGGGCTATGGTGATCCCGTAGTGGACTTACCTGGCACAGGAGCGGGGCAAGTAGCACGGGCTATGGTGATCCCGTAGTGGACTTACCTGGCACAAGAGCGGGGCAAGTAGCACGGGCTATGGTGATCCCGTAGTGGACTTACCTGGCACAGGAGCGGGGCAAGTAGCACGGGCTATGGTGATCCCGTAGTGGACTTACTTGGCACAGGAGCGGGGCTGTGCCCATACGAGGCCGCTATTTAAATCCACCCAATTTAGTCCAGGTAGGCCTACATTAAACGCAGGTGGGCCTAAACTACAAGAAGGGTTCAATCACCTACTCCTGTAACTTTTTTTATTAAGTTTCAACTAAACTTACCTGATCAACCAGGCTGTGATTCCTACGTCAGGATGCGAGCAGCCGCGTCCAACAGCCTGGTTAACCAGTCCAACAACCAGGAGGCCTAGTCAGTGACTGGGCCGCGGGGACCTTGACCCCCGAAATCAACGCAAGGTTATCTTGAAATGATTTCGGGGCTTAGTGTCCCCGCGGCCCGGTCCTCGACCAGGCCTCCTTTTTGTTATACAACCCCAGGAAGCAGCCCGTAGCAGCTGTCTAACTCCCAGGTACCTATTTACTGCTAGTCAGGGTGAAAGAAACTCTGCCCATTTGTTTCCGCCTCCACCTGGGATCGAACCCGGAACCTCAGGACTATCATGCTTCAGGATAATATCAACACAGTTTTAATGCATCAAATACAACAGCCAATGACCCCCCCCCCCCCCCGGCTTAACAAAAATGACCGTCTCAAATAATTAATAACAATCCATAATTATAATTTGTCCGTGTCGTTAAATCTAATTAAATATTCATACTAACGAAGGCGCTCAGCGACGTTAAGAATAACGAAGACGCACAATGACGTTATCTCATTTAATCCACCACAATTTTCACGCTATCTACCGCAACGTCGAAATTGCAGTGGTTTAATGGCCATGAAACGACTCTTCCGGTTAAGAACCACCGTAAAATGTCCGGTTGACACGAGGGGTGAGGGGGGGGGGGGAGGAGGGGGGAGGGAAGGGGGGCACACACCCCCCTCTCTCCCCCCTTACCCCCCCCCCCTTTCTCTCACCCCCCCCCCCTTTCTCTCTCCCCACCCCCCCCCCCTTTTCTCTCATTCCTCTTTATCTCCCGTTACTCTCCTTCTCGCCAGTCCCAAAAGTTCTATTAAAATGACAGATCTTAATTACCAATCAACCGACTAATTCCCTCCCCCCCCTCCCCCCCCCTTATAACGACCATCGCGTCCGGCCCGAACGTAATTGCTTGTTAAAGGCGTGGTTATGTCATTAGCGTAATTAAGTAAATAATCACCCAGCTTCCAGGATAACCGCGCCAAGACGGAGCGCTTCTTTATCTGGTTATCTTCAAGTAACATGACAGTCTAACAAGATTCATCAAGATTCAGTCTATCAAGATTCATCAAGATTCAGTCTATCAAGATTCATTAAGATTCAATATATCAAGATTCATCATGATTCAGTCTATCAAGATTCAGTCTATCAAGATTCATTAAGATTCAGTCTATCAAGATTCATCAAGATTCAGTCTATCAAGATTCAGTCTATCAAGATTGATTAAGATTCAGTCTATCAAGATTCATTAAGATTCAATATATCAAGATTCATCAAGATTCAGTCTATCAAGATTCAGTCTATCAAGATTCATTAAGATTCAGTCTATCAAGATTCATTAAGATTCAATATATCAAGATTCATCAAGATTCAGTCTATCAAGATTCAGTCTATCAAGATTCATTAAGATTCAATATATCAAGATTCAGCCTATCAAGATTCAACACGATTCAGTCTATTCAAGAGTCTATCAAGATTTTCATCAATAATAGAGTTTCCGTTTTGAATGATGCTCGTCGTATCGGAAAATGTAAATGATGATAGTGATGATTTATAAGGTGATGATGGTGTAAATGACTCATGTTGATGTAAAAACAAATGGTGACGATGCTGGAAATTCAAATACTAATGGTGACGATGCTGGAAATTCAAATACTAATGGTGACGATGCTGGAAATGCTGGTGAAAACGGTGAAAATGATAGGAATGATGGTGATAGTGATGAGCTAGCAAAGGAAAATGATGGTGATAGTGATGAAACAGGAACAACTCCCCAAACAATGCAGGAACAACTCTCAAACAATGCAGGAACAACTCCCCAAACAATGCAGGAACAACTCTCAAACAATGCAGGAACAACTCACCAAACAATGCAGGAACAACTCCCCAAACAATGCAGGAACAACTCCCCAAACAATGCAGGAACAACTCTCAAACAATGCAGGAACAACTCTCAAACAATGCAGGAACAACTCCCCAAACAATGCAGGAACAACTCTCAAACAATGCAGGAACAACTCACCAAACAATGCAGGAACAACTCCCCAAACAATGCAGGAACAACTCCCCAAACAATGCAGGAACAACTCCCCAAACAATGCAGGAACAACTCTCAAACAATGCAGGAACAACTCTCAAACAATGCAGGAACAACTCTCAAACAATGCAGGAACAACTCCCCAAACAATGCAGGAACAACTCACCAAACAATGCAGGAACAACTCCCCAAACAATGCAGGAACAACTCCCCAAACAATGCAGGAACAACTCTCAAACAATGCAGGAACAACTCTCAAATAATGCAGGAACAACTCTCAAACAATGCAGGAACAACTCTCAAACAATGCAGGAACAACTCCCCAAACAATGCAGGAACAACTCTCAAACAATGCAGGAACAACTCCCCAAACAATGCAGGAACAACTCTCAAACAATGCAGGAACAACTCACCTAACAATGCAGGAACAACTCTCAAACAATGCAGGAACAACTCACCAAACAATGCAGGAACAACTCACCAAACAATGCAGGAACAACTCCCCAAACAATGCAGGAACAACTCCCCAAACAATGCAGGAACAACTCACCAAACAATGCAGGAACAACTCCCCAAACAATGCAGGAACAACTCCCCAAACAATGCAGGAACAACTCACCAAACAATGCAGGAACAACTCCCCAAACAATGCAGGAACAACTCCCAAACAATGCAGGAACAACTCACCAAACAATGCAGGAACAACTCCCCAAACAATGCAGGAACAACTCACCAAACAATGCAGGAACAACTCCCCAAACAATGCAGGAACAACTCCCCAAACAATGCAGGAACAACTCACCAAACAATGCAGGAACAACTCCCCAAACAATGCAGGAACAACTCCCCAAACAATGCAGGAACAACTCCCCAAACAATGCAGAAACAACTCCCCAAACAATGCAGGAACTTCTCAGACGAAATAACTTGTCTGGGGTTAACTAGGCTGTTCCTTGTGATAATACAACGCCCGTAGTACTTCACAAAGTCTCAACCTGCCTCTCAATCGACGATTTGTAACTAAATCCTGGAGAAAAGTTGACGTGTCCGCCCGCCACCAAATTTCAGGGTACACTGAGACCTCGTTGCTAGGCCAATGGGAGGCCACGAAGATAGCTCTCTCTGATGACGTAACCCTTTGATACCTGCTGATTGGTTACTTGAAGCAACCTGCAACCAATCATCTTCCCTCTTCTCATCCTGGTCTCCAGCTCCTATTTCTGTGCTTCCATTCGCTGGCCACGTGGCCAAGTCCATAGGCTGGCCATGCCCACGTCTGAAGGCCATGCCACCTGTATTTCGATATAAACGTCCCATTTGAGTGGAGGCCGTTGTATAGTCAATATGAAGCTTCCTGGTATGTGGTCCATATATAGCTAGTACACTCACTATCAGGCTTCTGGTAAGTGGTAATTCAAATTATACTTCAGAGTACATAAAGGGTCCAGGGGCCAGATTCACGAAGCAGTTACGCAAGTACTTACGAATGTGTACATCTTTCCTCAGTCTTTGACGGCTTTGATTACATTTATTAAACAGTTTACAAGCATGAAAACTTGCCAATCAACTGTTGTTATTGTTATAAACAGCCTCCTGGTGCTTCGGAGCTCATTAACTGTTTAATAATTGTAAACAAAGCCGCCAAAGATTGAGAAAAGATGAACAGGTTCGTAAGTGCTTGCGTAACTGCTTCGTGAATCTGGCCCCAGGTAAACAAAGGCACGTGGATGCTGGAGATCAGCTGTAGAGATCAATAAACAGACGCGCCAGCATACCTGGAGCATACCTGTAGACGGTTTTGAGAGTTCTACTCCCCGAGACCAGCCAGGGACTAGGCTTGACTTGTGATAGTTTGGTCTAACAGGCTGCTAGACCAAACAGTCTGTTAGCCACTCACTACAACCCAGTTGGTCCATCAACTCTTGCAAGAACGTAACTAAATGATTCTTGAAGATGTCCACCTTTGTTCCGGCAATATTTCTTATGCTCGCTGGGAGGACGTTGAACAACCGTGGACCTCTGATGTTCACTGTTCTCTGATTGTGCCTATGGCACCTCTGCTCTTCACTGATTCTGTTCTGCATTTTATTCCATGTCTTTCACTCCAGTACGTTGTTATTCTACTGTATAGATTTGGTACCTGGCCCTCTAATATCTTCCATGTATTTGATACCTCTCTCGTCTCCCTTCCAGAGTATACATTTCGAGTGCTTTAAAACGATTCTAATAATTTACGTGCCTTATTTTTTTTTTTTTTGAGATATATACAAGAGTTGTTACATTCTTGTAGAGCCACTAGTACGCGTAGCGTTTCGGGCAGGTCCTTAATCCTATGGTCCCTGGAATACGATCCCCTGCCGCGAAGAATCGTTTTTTCATCCAAGTACACATTTTACTGTTGCGTTAAACAGAGGCTACAGTTAAGGAATTGCGCCCAGTAAATCCTCCCCGGCCAGGATACGAACCCATGACATAGCGCTCGCGGAACGCCAGGCGAGTGTCTTACCAGTACACCACGGAGACTGCTTATCTATCTATACGTGCCGTGTATGTTCACTATTTCCTACCGTGTTCAATCTTTGACTTTGGCCAACGCTTTATTACCTCCCGTGTGCAGTGGAACTATTGTAACACGGGGAGGGTTTTCTCGACTAATCTTTCGTTCTTCTTCCCCTCTACCCGTATTCTTACTTTTTATTCTCTACAAGGGACTCCAAAACTTTTACCAAAGCCAACTCCACGCCACGTGGTCCTAAGACGATTGACCGACTTAGGATTCTACAACCAGAATGACGTGACCTAGGCTTTGAGCAAAACCCTAGAGTCGCCTCCGCCGCCACCACCAGACCAGTAACACAGAGCAATGATCGAGGTCTGGATCGATCATGCTAATTAATCAACCTTGGGGCTTGATCCCCACTATAACCGATGACCTTGAGAGTTCTTAAGTGTGGAATTAATTACACGGGAATGATGAATTCCGATTCGATGTTAGAATCGACGCCCAATCCAACTCTGCCTCGTGTGGACCACGTGACCAGGACAAGTTCACATACTGTACATATAACAAATACATGGAAATAATAAAAATGCAAAATATTAACTAATTAATTTATTAAAAGAAACTAAAACAAAATCTAAATATGTTCACTCCCTGTCACTTTAACACTCCCTACTTGACCTGACGACAATGAGTTGACTATCTCTATAAATAACAAATAGCAACTATACCTCTATGTTGACCAGCTAAAGATGTTGGGGGCTGGTCTTGGGGGAGAGGTAAGATGGTTGACCTCCCCCAGTTGATCTGGACTCCACACTGATCTCTCCTCGTCTGGTCTACCCCAGACTAGAGCATTGTATCCTTCCGCATAGTCTAAGTTTTACCAAGTTACTTAGCCAGGTTTAAGTTATAACAATTAACCTCTGTTGTACTTAATTGATCCAGACTGGTTGAATTATTTTACTGAAATTAAATTACACAAGCATCTAACGGCAGAGTTGTTCCCGATCCCCAAAATGGTTAATTGAACTTTGAGAAATAGTAGACAAGTATAGTAGAAATAGTAGAAAGTGCCGGTAGCACAGGCACTCAGTATAGTGTGGAGGAAGAGCTTGGACACGGGGGAGATACCAGATGCACTTAAAGTAGCAGACATAGCCCCTCTACACAAGGGAGGGAGCAAAGCATTGGCAAAAAATTATAGACCAGTTGCACTAACATCGCACATCATAAAAGTTTTTGAGAGAGTGATTAGGAGTCAGGTCACCAATTTCATGGAGACCAATGACCTTCATAACCCAGGCCAACATGGATTTCGAGCGGGAAGATCGTGCCTCTCACAGCTACTTGAGCACTACGACAAAGTCACTGAGGCATTAGAAGAGAAACAGAATGCTAATGTGATATACACGGACTTCGCAAAGGCCTTCGATAAATGTGACCATGGCGTGATAGCACACAAAATGAAGTCAATGGGAATAACCGGTAAAGTAGGACGCTGGATACTCAGTTTTCTGTCAAACAGGACTCAGCGAGTAACTGTCAACCATATAAAATCTAGTCCAAGTGCAGTGAAAAGCTCTGTACCTCAGGTACAGTCCTTGCACCACTGCTTTTCCTTATTCTCATATCAGATATAGACAAAAATACAAGTCACAGCTTCGTATCATCCTTTGCAGATGACACAAAAATCAGTATGAAAATTACCTCGGCTGAGGACATTGAAAACTTCAAGCTGATATTAATAAAGTTTTCGACTGGGCATCAGAAAATAACATGATGTTTAACAGTGATAAATTCCAGGTACTCAGGTACGGTAAAAATGAGGACCTTAAACATAATACAGAATACAAAACACAATCAAATGTACCCATAGTAGGAAAACAGCATGTAAAGGATTTGGGAATAATAATGTCTGACGACCTAACGTTTAAGGAGCATAACCAAGCAAATATTGCGACAGCCAGAAAAATGATAGGATGGATTACGAGAACTTTCAAATCCAGGGATCCCATTACAATGGTTGTGCTCTTCAAGGCACTTGTGTTGTCCCGTCTTGAGTACTGCTCAGTACTCACTTCCCCCTTCAAAGCAGGAGAGATTGCTGAAATAGAGGGAATACAGAGAACATATACGGCACGCATAGACGCATTAAAGCACCTAAATTATTGGGATCGTCTCAAAGCCCTCCAAATGTACTCACTAGAAAGAAGACGAGAGAGATATCAAATAATATACACCTGGAAGATACTGGAGGCCAAGTACCAAATCTACACAGTAAAATAACAACGTACTGGAGTGAACGACATGGAAGAAAATGTAGAATAGAACCAATGAAGAGCAGAGGTGCCATAGGCACAATCAGAGAACACTGTATAAACATCAGAGGTCCGCGGTTGTTCAACGTCCTCCCAGCAAGCATAAGAAATATTGCCGGAACAACCGTGGACATTTTCAAGAGGAAACTAGATTTATTCCTCCAAGGAGTGCCGGACCAGCCGGGCTGTGGTGGGTATGTGGGCCTGCGGGCCGCTCCAAGCAACAGCCTGGTGGACCAGACTCTCACAAGTCGAGCCTGGCCTCGGGCCGGGCTTGGGAGTAGAAGAACTCCCAGAACCCCATCAACCAGGTATCAACCAGGTAACCAGACATGTCAACCCTGATGACCTATGACCGCCGGTCACTCCGCCTTACAACTTAGATCTGATTCGTGACGTCACTGATGGTAACTTAACTCAATAATTAGAATACTCTTGATATTGTACCCAGTACTATTATACAATACAATTTTAATACAAAATGAATAAAGGCTAATTTCTCAAAATTACTGAATACTATAGGATGGTTCATTATACGCAGCTATGAACAAAGCGTCGATTATTTTCACCGCGAATTCCCCTGGGGTCAGGTCCCGGGTCACCACGCGGGCTCAGCTTCCCGTTCTCTTTTGTCGATAAACCACTCTGGATAATTCTTACAACCAGCCTAGTTTGTTACACTATATCTGCTGATTGAAGTGCTGCTGGTATCTCTCCTGTATCCAGACTCGTTCAGACGTCAGACAAACTTTTATCTTTAGACATCAGTTATACATCTTCACATAAGGTCAACAATGGCCTTCATCCCTGCATTCCTTTCCCCCCGTCCCATCCCAAATCCTTATCCTGATCCCTTCCCAGTGCTATATAGTCGTAATGGCTTGGCGCTTTCCCCCTGAAAATTCCCTTCCCCTCCCTCCTCACCATACAGTGTGAAGTTTAGCTCTTTATGTCTTACATATGTGAACTCTTTCATATGTAGACTTTGTTGTGAAGAAGTTATCATACTAACTTGCCCGGATTGTCACACGCTCTTTAAACTATGAAAACGACTACCATTACCACCCTCAATCCCACAACCACCACCACAACCACCACTCCCACCACCATCACCACCCCATACAAGCCAAAACAGTCTCATTTGGACAAAAAATA